GCTTCACAGTATGGTATAAAAGCTTTCTGTATTCATGGAGGCCAAACCAGACCAAGTTATAGCTCAGATCTGTGGAGAGGCGACCTGCCCACAGTTAGAATTAATGTTTTTATTGGTATTTTTGAGCTATAAAACCACCTGTAGTTGAGTAAATATAAGGTAGAGCTGTTTAATGTCACACTGTGGAAGAAACTCCAACCAAAAAGTTACACAGCGCACCTTTAAATCAAGTCCAGTCATGGTTTAATTGCTAATCCGTCATTTGGAAGCTCAGCGCAGTCACGGCATACACTGAATTTCAGGGCCCCCTATTAGCAGGCCTGCCCCCGGTCTATTCTGGACCCTCATATTACACAGGAGAGATGATTATTGAGTGTGACAGGTATCTTTTAGAGGCCGCTAAGACTCTTAAACAGCTGCCCATATCAGTGCCTATATTCAGGTTTGCTTGAGTTGCAGTTGCACTAAAACTGTGTCACACTATAGGGAAGGGACTACGAAGATGTGACTGATACAGGCAGTTAATACCCCTAATAACTAGTCATTTTTATTGTTTGTATTATATTTCTTCTTTATCACAGTTTTAAAGGGCTCATATTGCGCTATTTTCTGATCTACACTACTGGTCAAAAGTTTTAGAACACCACACTTTTGTTTTTTACTCTTTTGATTCATGAAAGTGTCCACCTTTGGCAGATATAACAGCTGAACACACTCGTGGCTCGTTCTTTTTACAACAGAATTCAAATATTCATCAGACAGTTCTTCCCAAGTCTGTTGCAGAAGTTCCCATAAATATGTGGCACTTGTAGGTTTCTTGACTTTCACTCTTCTGTCCAGTTCATCTCAAAACCAGCTCGATGGGGTTTAAGTCTGGAGACTGTGCTGGACACTCCATGTTTTCAAGTTTAACATCGTGTTCTTTTTTCCTGAGGTAGTTTTGGCAGAGCTTGGACTTGTGTGTTGTTCTTTTATCTTTTTTTTTTAACCTCTGTCTGTTCAGTTTTTACCTTTGTTCCATTTCAAGCTCTTCATTGAACACTGGACATGAATTGCCATAAATAACTGGAAAAATGAGGGTGTTGTAAAACTTTTGACCGGTAGTGTATGTTATAATAGCCACCTACTGCCTCTTCTCAATTTCATTTCTATCCAGTGACTAGGTCAGGAATTGGAAGACACTAGACGGTTTGCAAGAGTCCCGGAAGTTGTAGACCGCGCTCCGGCCAATCAGCAAAGATCTGTGAAGCCATGACTTCAAACTCAAGCATCTGTCTGGGTCCCTTTTGTGGAACAACATAACAGTAAACAAAGCGGTTGAGATGGATGTAGACGAAGACAGACATTCTGTGTTGGCAATGATTCCCGAGATCGAGGATTTAAAGGCGGAACAAAGAGAATGTTTGGTGAATTTTATCAAAGGGAAAGACGTTATTGTCCTTCTTCCTACGGAATTTAGGAAAAGCTTAATATACTAGTTAGAGCTGTTAGCAGCGCATTACAAATGTCACGACATGGTTAAATTTAAAACGTACTTGTCTACAGTCAAGCGAACGTATCCTAATGCTGCGAGGTCAGACAGTTTCCACGAAGTGAAACCGACTGATGAATCAGGGTAACGTTTTCTCGTCAAAAACATATCTGGAGTTGTGTTTTGTTTCTTTGACACAGTTTAACACACAAATCCTTAGACTGAGTTCTTCTCTCAAACAGAAAACACAATGTTCCACGATGTCTTTTGGTAATATAGGAAGTGCTCCACTATGTTTTTTAACTCCACACACCTTCACTAGAATCATTTGGCTGATTTGAGTCATTTTGAGTTTTGGAGATATAGACAGATAACTAAATAAAAATAAAGGATTACTCAAAGACACGTAAATGAAACAAAACACAACTGCAGGTCTGTTTTTGACAAGTTAACAACATTATAACATGACTAAAAGCTCACAAGAGTCAATTTTGCATAATATAGGACCTTTGAAGAACTCATCTCTACTGCTGCCCACACAAACACCACTTAAAAGTCTAGATGTTCGTCCGGATAAGGTGACCATCAGTTTGTCATCTACGTGCTTGTCCGGGCCTGCCCAGGATATACGACTATCTCCTTCTTAAGTCACCTCTTTAGCACTTCCCATTAGTAGCCCACTAGCCTTCGAGGGGGTCACTTGATCTTTTGGTTTATCTGTTTATGTGTTGTCTGCCATGTTTTCTCCTCAATTCATAGACATAGTAGTTTGTAGCTTTGAAAAGTCCAATAGCAAAAAAAAACAACAATATCTCCACTTGGAAAAAACTGCCAAAAAGTTCTACAGATCTTCGCAATGACAATAACGCAGAGTGGATTTTATCAAGAAGGGATGGAAGGATATTTTGATAGCTGTAAAATGGATTTGGCTTTTGAAAATACGACTACACTAAGAGTAAACTACAAGCCTCTAATTAGTTTTTCAAATTGCGTTTATCTGTTTTTGCAAATGAGCTCTTCAAAATCCAGGTTTTAGATCTGCTACAGGTAAGATCTGATAGTGTTTGATGCATGTAAGCGAGCACCTGGATAAGCCGAGTTGCCTTGGAGCTCAAAACAAAGTGGGAAAGCAAACACAGGAATGAGTGAAGAGGGAACTAATTAAAGGGCTGCTGTGAGTAAACTTACATTTGCATTATTTACACAGTGAAATTGCAAAAAGAGATGATAAACTCTAAAGTCTATTGAGTGTGGTATTAACAGGTTAAAGCGTATTTGATAAATAAAAAGCTAAAAGTTTATGTTTGTTGTGATTTCAAAAGTTCTTTAAATGTGCATTGTGTAATTTTTCTAGCAGAGGGTCCACCACCTGCTTGTTTCCATGGGGATATGACTGTTTGCCAGCAATGTTCCACAGTACAGAATTACTGTATTTTTCAGACTATAAGGCGCACTTAAAATCCTTAAATTTTTTCAAAAGATCAATTTATAATCCAATGTGGCTTATGGATTAATTCTGGTAGTGCTTACTGACCTCGAACTGATTTTATGTGATACACGACGCTCAAAAATCTGTCAAAATGTTTTAGTATGACTTCGGTAAGCTGCAAAGCCGCACCGCTTGATGGATTGTCGGATCATTACAGCTACTGTAGTCAGAAACCTCGTGGACTCGTGTCCTTTAGTCCAACAGAAGTTGACCGCATCAGCGCACAAAGAGTGAGCTGTTTTTTTTCAGTGCTTATAGTTTATGCAAATTAGCCAAGTGGTTTTAAGTTTTGTTTCTGTAAAATGTAAACAAATGTGCGCAAAGCTGCATCAAACACATTATTACTCAATGTATATTTGAGTCATCCTCGTAGGAAATAAAAAAACAAACTTAAATTATCCACCCGCATTTACATTCATAATACATATTCGCCAAGACAGAGAGGCAGCAAGTCTCAAGTGTCGTCCGTTTGTTTTGCTTAATGCATCTTATAATCCGGTGCTCCTTATGTATGAAAATAGACGAGAGAATTCAACATTTCTGATATTGCGCCTTATAATCTGGTGCGTCTTATAGTCCGAAAAATACGGTACGTTGTGTTTATATTGCTTAAAAATACCATGAAAAACAGGCATCTTACAATACATATATGAGACGTTTTTCCACAGTTCTGACCTGTATCTTGACCTAGTTTCGTTTATACTCATCTTCGTGGAAATAAATGCGTTTACTGTGGAAAATTCCAGGCAAAACAATAACATCTCCATGGATAAATCATTTGGCAGACCCTCCACCAGAAAAGTTACTCAGTGCACCTTTAAGTAAAACAGGAAACCGTGAATCTTAAAGCTGATGTAAACAATTTTGAGTAAACATAAAAAGCCAGTATCTCGTTACACTGATCCCTACGCATCTCTGGGTCACTTTAAGCACACGATGAAAGGGGACATCTGAAGGCTCTGGGAAGTGCCCTTAAGGAAAAGCTGCCTTTGTCTGTTGACAATAAAGCTCAGAGAATGTCATAGTCACATCTTTTCCACTTTTACCGACCCATACTAAGTGTTTGGCCTGAGTAACCTTTCACCCCCCAAAAAAGATGGAAGCTTTGTGGATCTGTGTCAGTCTTTGTAATGAAAACACTTTGACAGGAAGCTTCAAGTTTTGTTTTAAGAAGGTAGAAATATAAAAATAGGCCTGTCACGGTAACAAATGTTGAACTGCGATAAATTGGTGAAGTAAATATAGACAATAAACGATAATAACGATTACAAAACTAGGGATGTAACGATATCCAAATCTCTCTGTACGATATTTTCACGATATGCATCACACGGTACTGCAATTTTTCTTTTTAAATGCCTTTTCTGTCATAATTTACAGAACTAACTAACTTCAAAAATGGTTACAACAGAGAAAAGCATTATGGTCTATGTAGTTCCCTCGTTTTTTTTTTTTTTTTTTACTATTGTTGCACCATAACGATGAATTTAAGCAAAGAGACTTGTAATTCGATATATTGTGATGGTCCACGATATTATTTTGAGATACAATATTATGATATTTCAGGTTATTGTCACATCCGTAATCAAAACCAAACTCAAAAAAATTTTCTAAATTCTAAATGTACAATATTGTTAAAAAACTCAAACGAATGAATAAACAGGTACATTTTTTTTAAACAAATGGACCCTCCACCTCTTTTTTTTCTGTTATTTTTCTTCTTATTATTAGTTTTCTGATTATTTTTATTCCTTATTTTCTTTATTTTGTTCATAGTTCACTTGTCTTGTCTTTCTTTGTGACTCTATGTGTCCTTACATGAACAATAAATTATAAATCACAAAAAATAAACAGTTAATTCGAGTCACAGACGTTCATAATTCAACCCCCTACAGCTCAAATCTTATTGTAGTACAGAGAAATAAGCAACATTTTCCCAAAAGTGCACGTAATAAATCCCCCAAAAAGCCTTGTTCCATCAGTCACCATAAGTATTTATCGTGAGAGACCTAAATATAAAAAAATCTGAACAGTTCCTACCTTGATCTTGGACGGTGAAGAAGAAGATGTCACTTGTTGCGTTGCTTGTGTCTTGCAGCACGTAACAGATCTTCATCTCGTCGATATCAGCTGTCGGTAAAACAAATAAAAGCAAGTTCTGTGTTAGTTTATGACCAGATAAGTTAATGGTGCACTGTGTAACTTTTCTGGTGGAGAGTCTGCCTTGAATATTCCACAGTATCAAAAAAAAAAAACCCAACAAATAAAGGTTAATGTTCAGCTCTATGGTGAAACAAGCCTGTACATGGTAAGAATTAATATGTTTTAAAGGCTTTTTTTGAGCTGTAAAACGCCTGTAACTGAACAAATGTAAGCGAAATATGTTTAATGTGCTACTGTGGAACATTCCAGGCAAAAAATGACATCTCCATGAAAACAAGCAGGTGGCGGACCCTCGACCTTAGAAGTCACGCAGTACACACTTTGACAGCTAACAGCTAAGCCATTTTTTCACTCTCTAAGTTTCATCCCTGGGGCAGCAATTAAACTGTTCACAGCGGTAATCTGAAGCTTCACCCTATGGTCAAGCTCGTATTTTAAATTGTGGTTATTTGAAACAGCTCCTTAAAGGTGCATGGTGTAACTTTTTGGTTGGGGGTTCAACACCTGCTTGTTTCTATGGATATGTCATTGCTCTGTCTGGAATGTTCCACAGTTTATTTATTTACAGGTGGTTTTATAGCTCAAAAATACCTAAAAAACAGGCATTCTGACTAAGCGGGCTTGCCTCTCTATAGATCTGACCTGTAATTTGGTCTGGTTTGGTCTCCATGAAGATAGAAAGGTTTAAATCTAGGCTCAAAACAGTTCTGTTTAGCTGTGCATATGACTGAAAGGTTTTAATTTTTCATTCCGCACTCTTCTCTCTAATTTATTGTTTCTCTCTTTTTTATTTTGTGATGATTATTTATGTTTTGGTTTGTTTGCATTGTGATTTAAATGTATTTCTTATTCTGTAAAGCACTTTGAATTACTTCGTCTATGAATTGTGCTATAAAAATAAACTTGCTGTGCCTTAATACCATACTGGGAAACATTCTAAACAAAGCAGTAACATGTCTCCACCTAGTGCTTCCGCGCAATTTAATTTCTCTCCAGCGACTAGGTCAGGAATCGGAATACACTAGACGGTTCGCAAAAACCCTGGAAGTGCGAGTTTGGGCACCAGCCAATCAGTGAAGAGCCATACATTCTGTGTTGGTAATGATTCCCGAGATCGAGGATTTAAAGCCGGAACAAAGAGAATGTTTGGTGAATTTTATCAAGGGGAAAGACGTTATTGTCCTTCTTCCTACGGGATTTGGGAAAAGCTTAATATACCAGTTATCCCCGTTAGCGGCGCATTACATACGTCACGACCAAATAGCAGCGATTGGTTAAATTTAAAAAAAGTACCCATCTACTATGAGCGAACGAATTTCATTACTGCGTGGTCAGATTGATGAATCAGGCTAAACATCTCTTACACCTTCACCAGAAAAGTTACACAATGCACCTGTAAACATGCAACATAAATGAGCAGGCTATTCAAAATCTGATATAAAATGTGCCATGCAATGTCCTGAACTCACCCTGCGTGAAGGTCTGGATGCTGTCATTGCCCAGCGCCGTGTTCATGATGTAGCCGTGATGAGGAGCCTCCGTGATGACGTACTTAAGAACCCTCTGGTTGCTGTCGCGGTCTTCAGATCTCAGAAATTTTCCGGTGATCAGGAAACCAACGTGACCGGTCCCGAGAAGCTTGAGCGAAGCAGCGGCCTTGTTCACCACGATCTGGGGCACACCGTTGTCCACTGTGTTGATGTGAATGGTCATCATCTGGGGTTTGCGGGTTTCATATACAGTGTCCGGGAATACGTAGAAGTCGTTGTGGGTTCCATCTGTGACAGTGAAGGAGAAGCTGTCCTCGTTGGTCTCCGTGCCGTCGTGCTTGTAGCTAATTAAGTTTTCATTAAGGTCCTGTTTGGTGAAGGAAATGATTGAGCGAGAATTGTTGAAAAGGAGCTGTCCATGTACCGGGACCTGTGTCACGATAAACCGCAAAAACTTATCTGGAGTATCGCGATCTTCAGCTGTCAGCTCAAATGGAGTGATGAGCTTAGTTTGACCCTCTTCTACGAACAGTTTATTAATGGTGAGAACTGGCTTTTTGTTATCCACATCTGTAATTGACACTCTGAACGTACGGAAGACCGGATTGAACCCGTCTGTGACCTCAAACTCAAAGCTGTCCATTTTCATCTCGTCGTCAGAAGTGTGGATGTAATAAATTTTGTTCCCGGCAAGCTGCAGCTGAGTAAAAGTCGATATGGGAACACCCGGGTGGTCGGTGCACTCAAGATGGCCTCTACTGGGTGCTCTTGTGATGCTAAACGTGAGGTATTCGTCGGGGCTGTTGATGTCCGTGGTGCTGAGAAGGTCTGTAGTTAGCGTCACTTTACCGCCTTCTTTGAGAGTCACGCCTTTGTTGATAACATCTGGGAAGACCATATCGATGCTGCCAATGTTGATGTAAAAGTAGCGATCGATAAGCGGGTTTATGCCGTCGGTGACATCGAACTTAAGCAGGTCGCGAATACCTTCCTGACCAGTGTGGACGTACTGGATGAGCTGGTTGTCAACTTCATCCTGCGTGAAGTTCATGCCCACTGTAATATTGCCTAAAACGTCTCCAAGCTTGGTGATACGCTGAAGATACCCTTGTCCTGGACCATAACGCACAATATAAGTCAGATGTTTATCTTCTGAGTCAAGGTCTGTCGCTTTCAAGACTCTGTTAGTGATCATTTTCGTTTCTCCAATTTCAACATCAAGCCCATCGTTGATAGCCATCCTTGGAGTCTCGTCGTCGACAGGGATGACCATAATGAGAACGGTCTTTTCTACCGTGTGTGTTCCGTCCGAAAGCTTGATAACAAAACTATCCTCTTTGGTTTCAGAATCGTCATGTTCATAGACAATGTTGGATGCCTCTTTGATTTGCTCAAGGTCGAACGTCACGACGGGGATGGTGCCAGAGCTGAGTTGTTGGACTATGGCTCCATGCTTGGGGTTCTTGATGATCTCAAAGCTCAGTTCGTCTCCAGGTATGTCAGCGTCAACGGCGTTTAGAATGGGCGTGTCGATAACTAAACTCATGCCTTCCATCACTAAAAACTCACGCACAAAAAGCTCAGGTTTCTCATCATTCGCTGGAATTATGACAATGGGGAAAAAGTGACGCTCTGAGAAGTTAATACCGTCCGAGCAGCGGAAGGTGAAGCGGTCTTCTGTAGGCTCCACCCCCTTGTGGATGCTTTGGACATAGTAGATATGACCAAGCGCGATGTCTTTCATGCTAAACGCTGTGATGGCAGTGCCTACTCTGGACTTCTCTGAGCCCGCAGCTGGCGAGATGTTCTCCACATAACCAGAAGACGGCTGAACTAAAATAGTGCAGAGGATGTCCTCATTGTCCGTGTCAATATCTTCAGCTTGGATATGGGCAGGTGTTATGACGTTCTTTTCTCCTTCCACTACAACGAACTGCTCTCCTACGCTCACAACAGGAGAGATGCTGTCCACCGGAAGAATGGTGACATGGACCGTTACCCCTTGAACTTTGTTACCTCCAACCACCCACTGATCGGACATATCTGACAAAGTAAGATTGAAAGAGTCATATTCTTTGATTGGTCCGATTTCTCCAGAAGTGTGAGCGTACACCACGACGCCATTGATGATATCCGCCTGCGTGAAGCGTTCAGCGGGAGCACCGTTCACAAGGATCTCCCCAAGTCGAGGAGGTTCTTCTACAATGAAAGTGAGCATGAGGTCGTCCGTGTCCTCATCGCGACCTTGGATCACGTTGCTTGTAATCTCAGTCGCCCCATTCTCCAGCACGTCGATAGAAGCCCCAAGGACACCGTTTGGAAGCATAATCGTAGGCGTCTCGTCATCTACGGGTTCGATCGTGATCTTAACTGTGATCGGCACCTCATGGAACCCATCGCTGACCTCTAACTTAATGCTATCGCTGACAGATTCTTCTCCACCGTGGACGTAAGCGAGACGGCCGTTTGCGATATCTTCAAGCACGAACGTCTCCCCATTGGTCATATCGATTCCGAAAAACTGAAACTTTCCAAACTGAGGAACTTGTACAATGGTAAAAACAATGTTATCGTCATCTGTGTCGGTGTCAGTGGCGTGCAGCTCTTTTTTCGTTATCACATACGGACTTCTTTCCATAAGTGTGAAACCTGTGTTGATTATAAGCGGTGGTTTGTTATCTACAGGCTGAAGGAAAATAGTGAAAAGTCCATCTGCCGTGTTTCCAGCTGTATCTTCAACAATAAAAGTGAACTGGGCAACTTTTGGGGTGATTCCAAGCTCCTGGTCAGGTGGCTTGTAGGCAATTTTGTGGTGATTAATCTGAGCCTGTGTGAACTCTGTAATTATAACATCATTGTTGTCAGTTAGGACAATTTCACCCAAGGGAGCTGGATTATTCTCATCGGTATCTGTTGGTGGTTTAACAACGGTGTATTTAAGATCCCTGTCATCAGAATCTAAATCAGTATAACACAAGAACTTCTTTTTGAACACGGTCAGCTCATACTCCTGGACTGTCATGTGCAGAGTGGTGCCTGTGCAAAGTTCGGGAGCTATATCGTCGACGGGGTGGATTTTAACTGTAAACGCGTTTTCTCCAGATTGGTTAGGAGGATCGTTATCGTCTTGCACTCGGAATAAAATGTGGTCGATAACGGTGGTGGTGCTGTGAGGGCCGATGTGACGGTAAAACAGCTTTCCGTCGAGAATGTCCTGCTGGAACCACTCCGTAACTACTTGCTCAAACATCTCGTCCGTCTCGCTGAATTTCCAAAGCGACGGGTTCGAAGGCGCTTCTATTTGTCTTAGCAGCAGCTCTCCTACTGTTGAATACGGTGCTTCTAGGATAAACTTAATTGTGGAATCTTCAGAATCGATATCTGTGGCGCTCAGAATAAAAGGGGAGATTTGCATGACTTCATTTTTGAACAAAACGAGACCAGTGTTCGCGTTGATAATCGGGGGCTCGTCGTCGGTCGGCGCGATTGTAATAGGGAACAAAAATTCAACTTCATTACTGCCGTCAGTCATTCTAAAAATAATATTATCGCTGTAAGTGTCGCTGCCGTCGTGCTGGTACACCACAATGCCTGCATCCAAGTCAGCCGGCGTGAAAAACTTCCTTCGACTCCCGAGAACTGTGAGTTCTCCGTGCTTTAAACCGTCAACGACAGTTATTCTTACATCTTCCTAAATTGTCCTCATCACTAATCTCTAAATTCTGGGAGCTGGACAGTGGACGGGACTGGCCTTCAAACAAAAGCTGACCGGTATTTCTGGTAGCTACGGGCGCCAAAGTATTCATAGGCTTCACCACAATCATAAAAGCAAAAGGATCAGAAACTGCGCCGTCCGTGTCTACAATTTCAAACTCTAGCTGGAATATCCTCTCTACATCTGAGTCCTCTGAAGGTGGCTTGTAGGCTATTTTGAGATCTTTAATGTCTCTCTGATAAAACGAGGTTATCGGTAAGTTTTGGTCGTCAGTGCTGATAATGTAGCCCTGCTGTGGATTCAAAGGTGAAGTTATATTGAAAATTAAGTCATCTGCATTTGACTCCACATCTTCTGCTGCTAACATGTCACTGGTGATCGCTGTCATTACAAACTGATCAACCTCCACCATCATCATAGACACAAAACTGGGCTTTGGAGCGGTATTCTCTTCACCTTCTCTGATTCTAACCATCATCTGGAAATGTTCTTGCATAATAGTGCTGCCATCCTTATCCTGCAACTCTATCATCATTGGAACATAGTCTCTGTTTGGTGACTTGGTTGTAGCTATGTGCTTGTACACAACGCCCATTTTCACAAACTCATCACAGTCAATCATTTGGCCATTGGCAGGATTATTCAAAAGAGTGCCATACCTGGGGAGACCTCCAGCGCCGACCAGTGTGGTAATCTTACACTGAGTCACGTCATCTTCATAGGAGAACTCCAGGCCTTTTTTGTCAATTGGGCTACTCTCACCATTGAGCTTTTCTACATTTATGGGCATATTCCTGGTCAAGATCTCAAGCTGCTGAAAGACGACTTCTACCTCCAGCATGAAGGGAATAATCACAGTGTCTGTCTGAGAGTCGTACCGGAGCTGGAGTTTGACCCGGTCTTTGCTGGGGCTCCGCGATCCAAAGTGAGTGTATTTGACTTCCTCTGGTCCAAAAGAACAAGGGAACTTTTTAGGGGAAAGCATCCCAGGCTTTTGGGATAAAGGGTCATTGTCCAAAACTGTGATGTGGCAGCGGTCTCCAGGCTCCACTTCTGTCACCAGGTCATTGACAGGGTCCAAAAACACAGAGCGTCCTAATGGCACCCTGATCCCATTATTGGCTACAATGATAGTGTCTTCATTAGGTCCAGTTCTGTGCTGATACAAGTGAGCGCGCTCAAATGGCTCTGCACCCACTGCACCCAAATACAATATAAATGTAAGAAGCAGAAGTGTCTGCTTTTTACAAAGTCTGTAACTCTGCAGACAACCAGCCATGTCCACCGCTAGTTGTCCTGCACAATGGTTCAGGCAATGACAGAGTCCGTATTTGGTTAAACAGAACAAAAATGTAAAAAGTCTGTGATGATCTGGCCCTCAGCTCTGGCTGCTCCTCTCTGCTCCTCTCTGTGCTGCCGTGGCCACACAGACACACAGTGTGGTAAATGCTACAGGGCTTTGCAGGTAATAATGAAACAGTAGACAGTGACAGGCTCTGGCTCCTCCTTCTGTCAGCACTGGGAGGGAGCCTCCGGCCCCCATGGCTAATTTAAGACGAGTCATTGGACAGGAGTGGGGGAGAGCCCCCGTGCAGAAAACACCATTCTACCCTTCTAACACACACACACAAGCATGCATGCACGCACGCGCACACGCACGCATGAACGCACACACGAGCACGCGCGCGCACGCGCACACACACACACGCACACACGCACACACGCGCACGCACACGCACACACACACACGACACACGCACACGCACACACGCACACACGCACACACACACGCACACGCACACGCACACACACACACACACACACACACACACACACACACACACACACACACACACACACTGGGGGACGTGAACTAATTTTGTTTTATATTTTGCCATGCAGTTACACAAAGTATTTACACACTAATTTAAACTTTCTTGAAAGCAGAAGATTTTGAGTGTAATCATGTATTCTGCAACCTTTTGTCAATGTTCATTTGTGATAAATATTAACATTTAACATGTTTAACAAAATAATACCATGTAAGTGACTTAAACATTTGTAATAAAAGTGCAAAACACCAAAAATCACTGAGACCTGAGAACACTGACAGTCTTCACCACGTGAACTGATTTATGGGGGTGGTGTTTGGTTTTCTAAAGCAGTGGGTGGCAGAGGTCAGGGGGCATGAGGACACCAGAGTGATGGGCACAGACAGGGACAATGAGCTGCCATCAGCTGTGAGACAGGTGCATGACAGGCGCACACACTGTACTGAAACATTACATTTAGATTAATTTGAGAAAAAAATCTGGTAGTTTTCTTTACTTTGTATTAAATATTTGGTGAATAGATCTACATGTGAATTCTCGGTCAGCTTCAGATAAAATGCACTGTGAAAGAGTTGTATCTGAAAGTAAATACATTTTAAAAAGGTAATTAAGAAAAAAACAACATTTAAAACACTGCATTACTGTTCATTCAAATTAAAAATATTATATTTTCAAGATAAACTCAGCTGTATGTCCCTGTCAGCCTGGGCTCTGCCACTGCACCAGGGAGAACCAGGGAGTGTGGACTCAATATATTGCACAAGGTCAAGTTAAGATTAAAATATCTGCAGCTTTTTTAAGTCCAACTTGACATTTAATAAAGCATTCAATACACCATTCATTCTCCACATGTCGACACATTCTTAATGACAATTTTATATTTCTGAGTCCAAAACAAGTTAAATTTAGCTAATCATTTCTCACATTCAGATATAAAAAACTTTTAGCCATAGTGCAGTGAATCTCAGATAAAAATGTGATTGATGTAGGTCTTGAAAGCAGAGGTGGAACATAACAAAGTAAAAGTAGTAAAATACTGAATGTAAGTTTAAAAAAAAAAAAAAAAAAAAAAACAAGGTATCTGTAATATGTTGCATAAAATTTTAAGGTGGATACTTTTTACTTTTACTTCAGTACATTTGAGAGCAGGTAGCTGTATTTTCAACTCGACTACATTTTTTAATTAGACTGAAAAGTAAAAGTATTTTTTATGGGTTTGAGACCTGTTGAAAAGGCTGCAGATTTTGTAAAAAAAATGTTCATAATTTGAGCAAAAATATAACAACAAATAAATACAAACAGCTAGAATAAAAAGACTGATTCATGCGTTTCTGCTTAACAAAAATGTAACACAATTTTTTTTATCAAAATCACTACATTTGAAGCTTTATTAGATCTCAAATTCAGAGCGAAATACTTTTAGTTTTTACTCTTTAAGTACATATTTAAACAGGTACTCTAATACTTTTACTTCAGTAGATTTTTTTTCATGTGATACTTTTACTTGAGTAATCTTTTGCTCCAGTATCTGTACTTTTTCTCCATGAAGATGTTATTGCATTTGGAATGTTTCGCAGTAAGGCATTAAACCTTTCCATCTTCAATGAGACCAAAGCAGATAATTACAGGTCAGATCTGTGGAGAGGCGACCCCACTTATAGTCAAACGCCTGTTTTTGAATTTTGAGCCATAAAACCACTTGTAAGTTTAAATTTTAATTTAAATTTTAATTGTAAATGTAAGGTAGAGCTGTTTAAAGTCATACTGTGGAACATATCCATGGAAACAAGCAGGTGATGGACCCTCAACCATAAAGTTACATGGTGCAACTTTAAATACTTGAGTAGATTCTTTCATGTTTCAACTTTGACTTTTACTTGAGTTTTTTTTGTTTTTTGTTTATTGTTTTGGCTCCAGTATCTGTACTTTTACTTAAGTAACAAAATTGAGTACTTCTTCTTCTACTTCTACTGCTTGCAAATGCCTTGAGGAGATAATACTTAGAGGAACATTACAAGCCCCCCAGTAACCTCCTTAAGACTGGGTCAAATATTCAGAATGCCATTTTGATCCAAGCATTTCTCTATCACACTTTTCATTACATCCTTTAAATAAACCTGGAGCGTCACTTGGCCTGCCCCGGGGTGTAACTATAGAAACAAACACTGGTCTTTTTTTACTCGGCTACTGAATTTCTCTGGCGTTCCTCTGGCCTATGTCCTTAAAACAGAGATTAGTATAAATACCACCGTTAAATCTCTTTTTGAAAAGTGAAGGTGCATCGTGTAACTTCACAGGTGGACGGTCGGTCAAACGCTTTTCTCCGTGGAAATGTTATTGGTTTGTCTGGAATGTTTCACTATGGTATTCAACTTTTTATCTTCATGGAACGCAAACCAGGCCAAGTTACAGGTCAGATCTGTGTACGCCTTTTTTGGAGTATTTTTGAGCTATAAAATCACCTGTAATTGAATAAATGTAAAATAAAGAGCTGTTTATTGTCTGGAACATTCCTGGCAGAGCAATGACATAGCCATAGAAATAAGCAAGTGCAGACCCGCCACCAGAAAAGTGACACGACGCACCTTTAAGCTTAACTGTCTATTACGACCCACATTGTTAAAGTCGTAGGTCATCTGTGTCACATTTACTCACATTAAAGACATGACTTTGGTAGAATCACACTGTGGGTCTGTGGTTGTGCTGTGATCCTGAGCCCCGGATCTTGTCCTCAAAGAGCAGGGTGGCGCAGTTTGACAGCTGCATAAAGGACCTGTGATAGATGGTGGTGATGATAAAGACCTTTCCCATATAAACACGTGTTAACCACTGTTTGGGCGAGCGTCCTTCAACTGTCCAGGCCTCGTGTCTGTGTAATAGAGCTGTGCTACTGATTATAATTGTGAGGTATACCACTAATCCTCTGTGCATAAAGCGTGTGGTTTGCAGAAGAAATATAAGTTTGAGACTGCAAGACATTTTTCAATTAGTCTTGAAAGGGCCCGTCTCATGCAAAATCAATTTATCAGAGCTTTCTACCTTCTAAGAGTGATGTGTGGGCCTTGTATTTGTCGCCAAAGTGATTTTTAGATTGACTCGGCTTTTTTTTTAACAAATTGCAGCGTATTTTTGCTACCCTCTAAACTAACTAAAGCAGCGACTCCTATGAAGCGTTTGACGTAGCAGAAGGTGCTTTGCACCCGCCCCCCTCCTCCACTCCACCGCCTCCGCCTCCGCCTCCACCCCGCATCAGCTGACAATTCCCTCATGAACACCTAAACAAAAGAGACAGTATAAGCTCATTGTTCTACACTGCAGTGTCCACGATATAATAAGTTTATCTACTAGTGTTTATTAATACTTTACCAATCAGTAATGTTCAGCTGAAGTCGATGCGGTGCTTGAGCTTCGTGCACCTCAAAGTCCTCGTTATTCCGGGTCCAACACATGTGGCTGAACGCGCTGTATCTCCATGATGAATAAAAGTTTATTCCTACAACTATCAGGGTGCATGTCTGTCTCCCCCTCCCTCCCTGAGATGGGCGGAGGAAGGGCGGCTCATTCAGAGCCTACGTCATGTTTGGAGGGCGGAGCCTGTACTTTCTCAGGAAGCTCGGGAGCTACTGGTAGCTCCCAAGCTTCAGGTTGGAGACCTCTGGAGTAAGGCAAATCTGCACACAGTGTTGTGCAAACTGACATATGAATCAGTAAAAATCAAATCTTACAAACAGGTGAGAGTTGTAATTCTCATTTGCAAATGTCACCAAACTAAGGATTAACCAATATAAAGATGAAAATCTGCCACACGCATGCATGATATTATGTGAAAGGTACAGGACGAGGTCATAGCCTCAAACCAACAGGTGGACTACTGTGCTGAAGAAACTATAGAATGAGCTGCCTTCACCTGTAATTCTTGTTCTGTAATTTTGATGGATCAATGAAGAGTAGAAGGGGTTTTCTTTTCTGATTGATTTTACGAAGAAAAAAAGTCCATCAGAACAAACTGAACAGTCATGGGACAAAAAGCTACTATTTTTGTTAAATCAATATCAATCAATATTTAAAACGTGCATAGAGATGTATTTTAAAACGTGAGCATTCCAGAGGTGAGCCCATGACAGAGGCTTTAATGGATGTTTGAAAAGAGCCGTGTGTTTTGGTGATCATTCTTCACATTCTGGGCGTGTTGGCCTCTTATCAGTCGTTAACATCTCCATAGTTCAGAGTCGTGTGGAGAGGCTGGTCCAGCTGTGCAGGGCCCTCTGACTCTGAGCAGAGCTGTGAGTCCAACCAGGGTCAAATACAGGTAAAGGTCACCTGGAGAATGCTCACGGAGGAAGTTCTGAGGCTACTCCATTTCAGTCTGACAGAGAAATGACAACGGAGAAAAGGCTGTAATATAAAGAATTAGTGCCCAAGTTCATCAGTTCATTCATCAACTTCAAGACTTTATAGATTTTATAATGAAAATTTGGCATAGCAACATAATTATTTTTTCCCTTTTTGCAGCTCATCATTTAAACCTTAGAAACAATCAACTAAAGTAAAAGCTTTTTTTTTCATTGTGGATGTTTTTGCACTGAAAAACATAACCCTACCTGTGTTTTTACAGTGAGCAGGCTTGCACCTCCACAAACCTGACTCCTATTTGACATAGAGAGGGCCTTTACTGCTTGTTTCCATGGAAATATTGTTCCTTTGGCTATAATATTCCATAGTTTGGCCTATTGTATCTGTCTCCTTGGAGAATGTTCTGAAGTATGGTTTTAAATTTCTTCTTT